TAAGTGCACCCATGTCATGCAGTGCCCTCAGAGGCCAGAAGAGGGTGTCAGATGCCCTGGAACTGGAGTTATAGACAGCCACTGTGTGGGTGCTGGAAACTGAACTTGGATCCTACGCAAGAGCAGCTTGTGCTCTTAACTGCTAAGCATCTCTCCAGATCATTTTTATAATTTTAAACTGCATTTATGTATTTATTTGTGTGTGTTTGTATGTGTGTCCCATAGCATTCGTGTGAAGGTCAGAGGACAACTTGCAGGATTTGCGTCTCTCCTATCATGTGAGTCCCGGGAATTGAACTCAGATCCTCAGGCTTGACGGCAAGCACCTGCCTGCCAAACCATTTCACTGACCCTCAATTTTTTTTTTTACGGTGGAGACTTCCTGGTGGGAATGCCTCAGTGCCAACTGTTCAGGAGCCTCTGTTCTGTCACCCTGTCACTGAGATGCTGTGAGCCTAAAGTAAATGCCGGCTAGACATGTACAGTACACCAGGCATGCAGGTCTTTTTTTTATGTGCATGAGTGTATTGACTGCATGTGTCTAAGTGCACCTGTGTCATGCAATGCCCTCAGGGGTCAGAGGAGGGCATCAGACCCCTGAAACTGGAGTTAGGAAGGATTGTTAGCCACCATGTGGGTCCTGGGAATCGAATCTGGGTCCTCTACGAGAGTAGCCTGTACTCTTAACTGCTGTGCTATCTCTCCAGCCCTGCAATGGGGACTCTTTAACAATGAATTATAGTAGTGTGCATTTTCAATTTTGAGTTAGGAGGGCGTGGTGGTGCACGCCTTTAGTCCCAGCCCTTGGGAGGCAGGCAGATCTCTGTGAGTTCGAGGCCAGCCTGGTCTACATAGGGAGTTCCAGGTCAGCTGGGGCTACAGGGAGACCCTGTCTCAGAAAGACCCCCCCAATTTAAAAATATATATATATATAATTTTATGTGTGTATTGCCTGCATGTAGGTAAGTGCACTTGTGTCGTGCAATGCCTACAGAGGACAGAAGAGGCTGTTGGATCCTCTGAAACTGGAGTTACAGACAGTTGTTAGCTCCATGTGGGTGCTGGGATTCGAACCTGGGTCTTCTGCAAGAACAGCCAGTGTTCTTAATCCCTGAGCCATCTCTCCAGCCCCTTTTAAATATTTTTAAAATATTTTATTTATTATTTTTATTTTGTGTGTATGCGTGAATTGCCTGCATGTAGGTAAGTGCACCTGTGTCGTGCAATGCCCGTGGAGGACAAAAGCGGTGGTGGTACATATGTTTAATCTCAGCACTCAGGAGGCAGGGGCAGGCAGGTCTCTGTAAGTTCGAGGTCAGCCTAGTCTACATAACAAGTTTCAGGCCAGCCAGGACTATATATATAGTGAGACCCTATCTCAAAAATAATAATAGTAGGTAGTGGAGAGCTGGCTCAGTGGTTAAGAGTGCTACTTGTCTTGCAGAGGACCTGGGTTAGGTTCCCAGCACCCACATGGTGGGTCACAACCATCCCTAACTACAGTTCCAGAGGATCTGAGGGCCCATTCTGTCCTTCACTGGCATTGCACACATGTGGTGCACTTACACACATGCAGACAAAACATACACATAACATTAAAATAAATTTTTTTTTGTCTTTTTGAAGCAGGGTCTCCCTGCAGCTCCAGCTGTCCTGGAACTCACTATGTAGACCAGGCTGGCTTTGAACTCACAGAGATCTGCCTGTCTCTGCCTCCCAAGTGCTGGGACTACAGGTATGCGCCACCATGCCAGGCTCTTAAAAAATTTTTTTAGAAAATTTTTATTATTTTTATTTTAGGTGTATGCGTGTATTGCCTGCATGTAGGTAACTGCACTCGTGTTGTGTCGTGCAATGCCCGCAGAGGAGAGAAGAGGCTGTCGGATCTCCTGGGACTGGAGTTATGGACAGCTGTTAGCTGCCATGTGGGTGCTGGGATTTGAACCTGGGTTTTCTGCAAGAACAACCAGTGTTCTTAACCGCTGAGCCATCTCTCCAGCCCCTAAGCCTAAGTTTTTATAACTTAATTTTTACTTAAAAAAAATTATGGGGCTGGAGAGATGGCTCAGCGGTTAAGAACACTGACTGTTCTTGCAGAAGACATAGGTTCGAATCCCAGCACCCACATGGCAGCTAACAACTATCTGTAACTCCAGTTCCAGGGGCTCCGATTGCCTCTTCTGTCCTCCGAGGGCATTTCACGACATGGGTGCACTTACCTACATTCAGGCAATACACACATACACATAAAATAGAAATAATAAAACTTTTTAAAACCTTAGGCTTAAATTATATTAAAAACAGAAAGAATACTTAATATTAGCCACTTTTCTGTTGCTGTGATAGAAGCACCATGACCAACAGAACTCATAAAAGGAAGAGTTTATTTGGCTATGGTTCTAAGGAAATTACAGTCTGTCATGGTGGGGAGGGTGGCAGCAAAGGTGGCTGGAGGAGGAGCAGAAGCACACTCTCAAATCTTCAAGCAGGCACAGGAAGCAAGAGAGCAACTTGAGATCCAGCAAGGCTTAGGAACTCTCTAAACCGGTCTCCAATGATGTGCTTCCTCCAGCATGGCCGCATCTTCTAAGACCTCCCAAACATTACCACCTGGGACAAAATGTCCAAATGCTTGGCGCCTATGGGGGACATTCTCATTCAAACCATTACAATACTCAAAACTCACCACATTGTAGTTAATATTGCTACCATTCACATTCTGCATTGTAAAAAATATGTTTATTTTATGTGTATGAGTGTATTACCTGCATGTATGTAAGTGCACCCACGTTGTACAATGCCTGTGGAAGTCAGAAGAGGGCATTGGATCCCCTGGAACTGGAGTTATGGATGGTACTGGGAACAGTTATGTGGGTGCTGGGAACTGAACCTGGGTCCTCTGCAAGAAAGAGCAGCCAGTGCTTTTGACCACTGAGCCATCTCTCCAATCCCCTCACATTTTGTACTTATCTTTGCCACTGATATTCACTGCATCCGTGTGGCAGATGGGTGGACTATGCAGCATCTCTGCCCAATTCTGTCTTCAGTGATCTCCGCAGGCCTCCCTGAATTAGCCCCAGTGGGAGCACTGACAGCATGGGAATGAGTAAGTGCAGTCAATCAGGGTTCAGCATGTTGAGTGTTTAATGATCGAGATAATGCTAACGCTGCAGCTAAACTTGAAAGTGCATCTGTATGTTCTGTTTACATTGTGAATAGCAGAAAAAAATGAGGCCAGGGCTAGAGAGATGGCTCAGTGGTTAAGAGCACTGGCTGCTCTTGCAGAGGACCCAGGTTCGGTTCCCAGCACCCACATGTCAGCTAACAACTATCTGTAACTCCAGTTCCAGGGGATTGGATGCCCTCTTCTGACCTCTGTGGGCATTGCATGACACAGGTGCACTTATACACATGCAGGCAATACACTCATACACATAAAATAAAAAATTAAAAACATTTTTCAAAATTAAAAAATATTGATCTCTGTGAGTTCGAGGCTGCCTGGTCTACATAGCGAGTTCCAGGCCAGCTGGGGCTACAGGGAAAAAAAAAAAAAAAAAAAAAAAAAAAAAAAAAAAAGACAAAAAAAATATATGTTTTTAAATGAGGCAGTGCTCTCAAGTATTTACATATTACTTGATGTAACAAAGGAGTCCGTTGCTCATGTCAGTAAGGTGTGAATGAAGGTCTGAAAGAATGAAGTTGGGAAAATGACTGAAGACAGGTAAGACAGAAAAAAGGTCCAACGTTGGGTGCACTGTTCTCACTCCGTCTGCCTGGGCATACAACTCAGGGCCTCACACACGCTCGGCACGTGCTCTACCACTGAGCTACATCCTCATTCTCATTCCATAGCTTAACATAAGGTCACATATTGCAGACATGGGTGCACTCACATACATGAAGGCAGACACACATAAAATATAAATTTAAACCTTTTTTAATGCATGGATTTTGCAAGATACTCTAAAGTTGTATATATATGGAGTTCACCATAGAAAGCATTGCAGTTTGGGGGCTGGAGAGATGGCTCAGTGGTTAGAGCACTGACTGCTCTTGCAGAGGACCCAGGTTCAGTTCCCAGTACCCACATGGTGACTAACAATCGTCTGTAACTCCAGTTCCAGGGGTTCCAACGCCTTCTTCTGACCTCCACAGGCATTGTATGACATGGTGCACTTACATCCAGGCAATACACCTAAAATAAAAATAAAATATTTTTAAAAAGAAAGCATTGCAGTTCATAATTTGCATTAACTATTGTGTGTATAGTTTGTGTGAGTATAGGTGCACAGTGGAGGTCAAAGGGCAATATTTGGGAGATGTTCTCTCCTTCCATGGAAGGTTTTGGGGATCAAACTAGGGGATCATTCTTGCAAGGGCAAGTGCTTTTATGCAGAGCCATTCACCAGCCCAGCTTTTCATAATTTAATTGTGGGCTATACATACTTGAAAAAATATTTTATTGAGCCAGGTGTGGTGGTGCACACCTTTAATCCCAGCACTTGGGAGGCAGAGGTAGGTGCATCTCTGAGTTCAAAGCCAGCCAGGTCTACATAGTGATTTCCAGGCCAGCTGGGGCTACGGGGAGATCCTATCACAAAAAGACCCAAACAATTTTTTTCATTTATTATTTTTATTTTATGTATATAAGTGTATTGCCTACATGTATGTAAGTGCACCCGTGTCATGCAATGCCTATGGAGGACAGAAGAGGACGTCAGATCCCCTGGAACTGGAGTTACACAAGGTTGTTTAGCCACCATGTAGGTGCTGGGAACCGAACCCGGGTCCTTCGCAAGAGCAGCCAGTACCGTTAACCTTTGAGCCATCTCTCCAGCCTATACATACTTCTTAAAGGTAAGATTTTTTGAGAGAATCCTCGTAACTATAAATACATATTCTTGCTGACAGCTGGTTAAGTCTTGAGACCAGGCTGCACAAGACCCCCTAAACCACTTCCGCGTCGTCGCCGCCAGGGGGCGCGCGAGAGGCAGGAAGGCGGCGTTTCGTTCTTTGACCCCTCGCGCGGCCCGTCGCGGACGTCGCGCGCGGGAAAATCTGAGCAGTGATGGAGGAGGTGGAGGCCGAGGAGCAGCAAGGATTCTCTCATCAGCAGGTACAAAATAAACGCGGTCTCGGCTGGGCATCGACGTCAGGTTCCTGTGGAGGGAAAAGCGGAGTCCTCCGACCGCCCCCCGTTGCCACGCGCGCTGAGTGCGCATGCGCATCGGCTGCCGGGCGGTGCAGCGGCGGCCAGGCTCCGGGTTTTGGAGCCTGCTGCTGGATTGGGGTTTAACTTCATCCCGGTCTAATCCCGGGCTATGAGAGTGGGGACTCTGGGGTTGGAGATGTGGCTCAGTTGGCAGAGTGCTCGCTTGGCGTGGGAAGCCCTGGGTTCGAGCCCCAGTACCTATAATCCAGGTTCATGGTGGATGCCCATAATCCGAGCACTTGGGAGGTGAAGGTTCGAGGGCAGCATGGAATGCATGAGACCCTGCCTCAAAAAACGAGAGATCTGGGTATGGGGGTGTACGCCTTTAATACCAGCACCCCTCAGGGAGTTTAAAGCCAGCCTGGTCTACATATGGAGTGCCAGGGCTGTATCGGTATAAAACGCTGTTTTAAAAACTGAACAAGCCAGGCGTGGTAGTCCACGCCTTTGGTCCCAGAACTCAGGAGGCAGAGATCAAGGCCAGTCTGGTTTACAAAGCAAGTTCCAGGTCAGCTAGGGCTGCAGAGAGACTTGTCTCAAAAAACAGACAAACAAGGGGCTGAAGAGATGGCTTAGCAGTTAAGAATACTAATAGTTCTTAAGAAGACCCAGGTTCGAATCCCAGCACCCACATGGCAGTTAACAACTGTCCATAACTCCAGTTCCAGGGGATCCGACAGTCTCTTCTGTCCTGTGAGGGCATTGCACAACACGGGTGCACTTATATGCAGGCGAAAAGAGGATGTGAGTAGTGCCCTGGTCTGGGCAGAGACCATTCTTCCTATATAGGAAGGGACTCTGGCAGGTGTCCCTGGAGTTGTTAGCATAGGTTTGAATTTCAGGTCCTCTTGTTTTTGATTGTGTTGACTCTAGCCCGGATACAGTTAACTGCTTCTCAGGGTGTTTGCCACATTGTATATTCTGTCTTTATTTTTGTTTATTTATTTTGGTCTTTTTGAGACAGGGTCTCCCTGTAGCTCCAGCTGTCCTAGAACTCACTATGTAGACCAGGCTGGCCTTGAATTCATAGAGATCCCCCCGCGCCTGCTCCCCGCCCCCCAAGTGCTGGGATTAAAGGCGTTTGCCACCTTACCCCACCTAGCTTTTTCTATTAGCTTGCAACAAATAGTGTTCTCAGGTGGTGAGTTTTCCATTAAGTACTGACCGTCCTTGGAGATCATCAGATAAGCCATAGTTTAACCTACTGCAGTCCTAGGTTAAAACCTTAGCCCCTTAAAAAAAAAGAAGCCTGGCACTCAGGAGGCAGGGGACTGAGGTTCTCTTTAAATTCTAGGCCAGCCAGAATTACAGAAGGACCCTGTCTAAAAAAGAAAAAGTAGATGAGATTAACTGGTCAGATTCAGGGTGACATGATGGTAGACCCCACATCTTTTTCTTCTGAATTATTTGAGAATTCATTGCATAACTTGACATTTCACCTTTCACTTTATTATTATTTTTTTAATGTGTATGAATGTTTTGCCTGCATATATGTAAATGCACCCCTGTTGTGCAAAAGCCTGAAGAGCCCAGAAGACAGTGTTGGACCCCTGGAACTGGAGTTACAGATGGTTGTTGGCCACCATGTGGGTGCAGGGAATTGAACAGCCACCTGCAAGAGCAGCCAGTGCTCTTAACCGCTGAGCAATCTCTCCAGCCCCCAGTTTTTGATTTTTTTAAAGGTATATTTATTCATGGGGGTGGGGAGAACTGTCATGGCTAGAGGACAACTTGCAGGAATCAGGTCATCAGTTCCTTCCACCAAGTCCCGGGGATTGAACACAGGTCATCAGGCCTGGCAGCAAGTGCTTTTATCTACAGCCATCTTGTGCTTCTTGTTTTTATTTAATTTCATTATTTCTTTTTTGTGGTGCTAAGGTTTGAACTCAGGGCCTTGTTCATGCCAGTCAAGCACTCTACCCCTGAACTTCATCCCCAGGTCTCTTTTTTATTTTATTATTTTTATTTTGTGTATGAGTGTATTGCCTGCATGTATGTGAGTGCACCCATGTCATGCAATGCCCTGGAAGTCAGAAGAGGGCTTCGGATTCCCCTGGAACTGGAGTTAAGGACAGTTCGTAGCCGCCATGTGGGGGTTAGGAATCAAACCCAGGTCCTCTGCAAGACCAGTCAGTGCTCTTAACCACTGAGCCATCTCTCCAGCCCCGCCCCCCCCAGGTCTCTCTTAAAAAAAAAAATTCTATATTTTATTTTATGTGAATGAATGTTTTGCCTGCATGTGTGTGCAGTGCCCGAAGGGGTCCAAAGAGGGCATCGGATCCCCTGGAACTGGAGTTACAGGGGGTTGTGAGCCACCATGTGGGTGCTGGGAATGGAACCCAGGTCTTCGGTGCTCCTGAGTGCTGAGCCATCTTTTCAGCTCACCAGGCCTCTTTTTTTTTTGGTCTTTTTGAGACAGGGTCTCCCTGTAGCCCCAGCCCTGGAACTCACTATGTAGACCAGGCTGGCCTTGAACTCACAGAGATTCTCCTGCCTCTGCCTCCCCAGTACTGGGATTAAAGGCGTGCGCCACCATGCCCAGCTCAGGCCTCTTTTTTTATTTGTGTATTCTCAGTGCCTACAAGAGATCCTGGCTTTCATTACACAATAAATGTGTGCTGATTGAGGATGAGAGATGAGCTTAGCTTTGGATCTCATCCCTGGTGTGCCTGTAGAGGGTCCCATCATCCTCTCAAGCAGCTATTCTTGGCCCTAGATGGAGAGCAATGAACAACGTGGACAGGGCCCAGTCCTGGAGCTTAGAGTCTGACTGTTTAGCTTCCAAGTCCATCAGAAGAAATTTAGCCCAGCCTACAGGGGCAGACAAAACTGCCTAGAACAAGATGCCTTCAGAAAGATCCAGTCCTGTACCCACCCCAACCTGTTCCTGAAAGAGGGCGGGGTCTGGAGGGTCTTCTGCCTAGGCTGATGGTTCCTTTGTTCCCTTTACCAAAAGCCTGAATTTACTTTGCCTTGTGTTCTCTGAAAATAGGGAACTAGGTACCTGGTTCATCAGCCTCTACCAAAGGGTCCTGGGCTGTTTACAGTTCACCCTCATTTTACCTGTACCGAAGAGGAAAGAAAAATGCCCGTGCATTTACTATTACTTGTGTATAATAATCATTTTTATTGTTTTAGGACTGATTTTATACCTAAGACATAGTACTCAATGTATAGAGGTTCCACGTTAAAGTAGAGAACACACCACCACAAAGCCATTTTGAGAAACAAGCAGCATGGTCATCTAGTGGGACACCTGTTTGCAATTCCCGTGTGCCATGGCACCTGCAATAAATTCTGTTGTTAAAGAATGATTTAACCTGGGGCTGGAGAGATGGCTCAGCAGTTAAGGACACTGGCTGTTCTTGCAGAAGACGCGGGTTCAAATCCCACAACCACCTGGCAGCTAACAACTGTCTAACTCCAGTTCCAGGGGATCTGACAGCCTCTTCTATCCTCTGCAGGCATTGCACGACATGGATGCACTTACCTATGTGCAGACAATACACACTCATAAAAATAATAAAATTCAATTAAAAATGTCAAGAAGCCGGGCATGGTGGCGCACACTGTAGTCCCAGCACTTGGGAGGCAGAGGCAGGCAGATCTCTGTAAGTTCAAGGCCAGCCTGGTCTACATAGCTCCAGGAAATGTTGGGCACCAGGGAAGCCCTCTTTCAAAAAAACCAAAAAAAAAAAAAAAAAAAGTCAAGAAAATGAAAAAAATAAACTATTGAAAAAAAAGATTTAACCCCTGCCCTCAATATCTGTTCTTGAAAACATGCCTGATCACTTAACCAGGTTCCCCTCAATGGTTTTAGGACAGTTAATCATCCTGCTGGTAATCCTGTAGACTGTAATCTAAATATATGCTGGGGGCTGGGAGTGGTGGCACACGCCTTTAATCCCAGCACTTGGGAGGCAGAGGCAGGTGGAGCTCTGTGATGAGACTGAGGCCAACCTGGTCTACATAGCAAGATCCAGGCCTGCTGGAGCTACAGGGAGACCCTGTCTCATATTCCAAGTCCACCAATGTTGTAACAGTTAAGAAGTGATATGAGGAAACCTGTAAAAACTGCGAGAAACTGAGCTGGGACCCAGAACTCCAGAGCACTACTGGTCCATATGGGTCCACCAGCATAAACTTGCTCTTCCTGATGTCACCATGTGAGTCTCTTGGGTGCCTTTTCTATGAGTGGAGGGTCTAGTACCTCAGTTGCCCACAGCAAGTCAGTGGACACTTGGTTCAGCCCACTTGAGCTCTGTCTTCAGGTATCGCATAGCTCCATCCTCCAAGCAAGGAAGTCGTGATCAGGGTAGCTGTAACTACTTACCAGAGACCCTGAAGATCAGGCCTGTTGACCTTCCTTCTTTGGAGGAAAGGTCATTGGACCCTCACCTGATCTCGGTCCTCCCTCCTGTACCTCCCTGCTAGGTGTCCATAATTCTGCTTTAGTTGCACACTGGGGGTGGGAGGCGGGTCCTCAGGACATGCTAGAGTATATAGATTGTGGAAGGTTAACAGAAGGGGGTGCTTAGTACAGTTATGGGGCAATCCATGTTGGGGTGAGACCTTGTAGTAGTAAGAATACTTTGGGGGTTTTAAGAAAGCCCAATAAACTCATTGGTTCCCCAAGTTGGACTTTGGTGGAATCAAACTTTGGTTTGTCATTGGCGCCCTGTGAGGAGGGGGGTAGACGTTTGTTCACAACTCCAGGGAGAGTTCCCGATCAGTACAGAGCCGAGCAGAGGGTTCCACACGAGTTTGTGACCCTTGATGGGGGTCTTTGCTCAGCTGGTTCTGCACCCTCTTTCTCGGTGCTTCTCTGCATGGCGAAGAATGAGATCTTTCAATATCTAGAAGGCTTGCTGAGGACTAGGGATGTCACTCTGGAAGTTTCTGCCTAGTGTGTGTGTGGCTCTGGGTTTGTTCTTCAGCACTGCAAAAAAGACAAGAAAAAGAAAAAAACAAGGGAGACAGGATTGTTGGGGAACAGGGAGACTGTTGGGTGAGGTGGTAGGCGTCCAAGTCAGAGGGTCAGTACGCCCTCTCCAGCCTTTCCTGGTGGTGTCCTGTAGTCTCACCTTCTGGGACATATAGGGCTGAGGCCACGTGGGACAGAGGCATGAGGTCCTTCTGTCCATACTTGTCTGTCCAAAAACTCTGGTTTCTGCAGACACAATGGTCCCTTACCCAGCAGGAGCTGCGAGATCGCTGTGGAATAATTCAAGATAACTGGCTGATACCTGGCAAACATCAGCGTAACTTCTCACTGACCTGGCATTGTATTTCTTATCTTTATGTGACCTAAATCCTAACCATCAGCTTGGAAGTAGTGTCTGCACAGTCCCCCCTCCATGGGGCGGGGACTAGCACACTGCAATGTCACTCTGCTGTTATGGAAAGTACCGCAGCAATTAGGCTGAGCATATCTTCTTCTTGGTTTTAATTTTCTAAGATGTGGAGAGCTCTTCTGTGCAACCTTCTCCCTGAAGTACTGTGTTTTTTTTCCCCAGAGACTAAAGGCAGCAGTTCACTACACAGTTGGCTGTCTTTGCAATGAGGTTGCCTCGGACAAAGAAATACAGTTCAGCAAACAGACCGTTGCAGCAATTTCAGAGCTGACCTTTCGACAGTGCGGTAGGAAGCCGTGGTCTTTCTCTCCATGATCTGCCCAAGAGCATGTGTGGGTGGGAGTCCTGGCACATCTCACCCCCACACACAACTTCGCCATCACCATAGTCTTCATGAAGCACTTGGCTGTGGGATTTGGATGTTTCACGGAGAGCATGATTAAGTTCCTCTCCTGCTTATTATACCAGCTCTGGACAGTTACACCCTTATTTTTCTGTGTTTAAACTGCCCTGGTGGCCGGAACATTAGATGTTATATTTCCCACTTCAGTGCTCTATAGCATTTTTGTATCATCCACAGTTTGACAGCTGAGCTGGTGGCATTGGTATTTGCTTGACTTAGAGGAAATCAACATCCTCACAAGCTGTAACTTGTAGTAAAATTGAAAATTAAAGGATCGCCTCAGAAACCAAAGGTGTAGACACCATTAGGGGAAGGCTTGTAATGGAGGGCGGAGGGTGCCAGGAAGACCGAATGATTAAAAAGCTGAAGGCGGTTAGCAAACGAGGGGCTGCCAAGGTGCCCCTGCACCCATCTGAAAAGAACCGAGACTTCTCTTTCCTAGGATGGAGATAAGGTGGCTAAAATGTCTTTTTGGTTTTCTCCTTTTCTCTTTCAGAAATGTTTGCCAAAGACCTTGAAATGTTTGCCAGGTGGGTGAAGCTGGTGATGCAAGGCTAGGTCTTTCATCGATACCCTCCATCTGGTGGTATACTTCAGGAGTGCCATGGCGCTGTGTTTTCGGGGGGGTTTGTGGATAATCATGATTCTGCGGGAATCTAGCATCTGCTTTAATCACATCAATTCAGACTTGTCTTGGTGTTTTGGCATTCTTTGAAGTTCTCCAAGAAGCCAAGTCATTCGGTTCCAGGTTGCAAAAATTCTGAATGGTGTCTCTCAGATGCTGAGTGTGTGTGACTGCCTATCTTAAAGATCAGGTCTTGGGGGTGGTTTGATTGCTTGGGTCTGTGGAGAGGGCCTCGCTGTGGGCTGCAGCCCTGATTGCTTGCAGGTGTACAGATAAAAACAGGCCTCGGCTTTCACTGCCAAATTCGTCATGAGGAAGACATGGTCCTCCTGAAAAGTGGGGGGTTTGCTTTCAGCTGGTAAAGCCTGAGCTTTTACAGATGATTTATACTCATCTCTTCAATTAGTACCCCAGGTAATTGGGAACAATTGCAACAAATTGCCTTTACACAGCGGTTGGAAAGACAAAGGCCCAAAAGGGCTCGGGCTTCCTGATCGCCTCCACCTGTGACTTGGTGCCACGCTTTCCTCCTTGCTCCTGTGAGCTCTTTGTTTCTGGGATGAATATTCGGAATGATTTAAAACAGTGGGTTCTCCGAGGGCAGCCTCTAAATCTTTCCCTTTCCTGTATGTCTTATCAGTCCCTAAAAACTGCTTAGCGTCATCAACTTGGACTAGAGGGATAAGGTAGCATTATGGGATGCTAATAGTTCTTATGACTTATTCATTGTTAATGCAGGCAGTTGCTGATAATATCTGTGCCTCCCACCCCAAGTCCTATGAAGTAGGGTCATCATGACTTCTCCTTTCTGTGCTAGCTGTGGAAGTCAATGCAAAATTTAAAATATTTTTTTAAGATTGGTGTGTGTGGTTTTTTTTTGTTTGTTTTTTTTTTATTGAGACAGTGTCTCACTATGTATCTCTGGCTGACCTGAGATCCTGGGACTCACAGAGATCACCCACCTCTGCCTCCCAAGCCCTGAGATTAAAGGCATGCGCCCCAACACCTAGCAGGGTTTATATGTACATATATATACACATATAATATATACATACATATATACACACGCATATATATATATATATATACATACACACCCACACACATATATATAATTTTTTTTTTTTGGTCTTTTTGAGATAGGGTCTCCCTGTAGCTGGCCTTGAACTCACAGAGATTCGCGTACCACCATGCCCAGCCAATATTTGACTTTTTTTTTTTTTTTTTTTTTTTTTTTTTTTTTTTTTGGTCTTTTTGAGACAGGGTCTCCCTGTAGCCCCAGTTGTCCTGGAACTCTTTTTTTTGGTCTTTTTGAAGCAGGGTCTCCCTGTAAGCCCCAGCTGTCCTGGAACTCACTATGTAGACCAGGCTGGCCTTGAACTCAAAGAGATCCGCCTGCCTCTCCCTCCCAAGTGCTGGGACTACAGGCGTGCGCCACCACTCCCGGCTTATTTGTTATTTTTATGTGTATGAGTGTATTGCCTGCATATGTGTACCTATGCTGTGCAATGCTCACAGAGGTCAGAAGAGGGTGTTGGAGTCTCCTGGAACTGGAGTTAGGATGGTTGTTGGGCACTGAACCCGGGTCCTCTGCAAGAGCAGTCGGTGCTCTTAACTGCTGAGCCATCTCTCCAGCCCCCAAGATTTATATATTTTAAGTTGTGTGTATATGTCTGAGTGTGAGTTTGTGTATGTGAGTGCATTCCCTTCCAAGCCAGAAGAGTATGTCAGATTCCCTGGAGCTAGAGTTATAGACGGTTGTCAGCTGCCCAGTGTGGATATTGGGAACTTAACTCAGGTTCTCTGGAAAGACAGCAAGTGCCCTTAACTACTGAGCCATCTCTCCAGCCCAAAATTTTAAAAATATTTTTGTATAGTTACAGAAATAAGCTGTTCAGGGTGGTGCATGCCTGTAAGTAATATCAGTACTTGGGAGGTTGAGGCAGGAGGATTCACTAGCTCAAGACCCGTGTAGGCTACAAAATGAGACTTTCTCAGAAAACAAAGCCAGGTGTGTAGGCACACCTTTAATCCCAGCACTCAGGAGGCAGAGGCAGGCAGGTCTCTGTGATTCAAGGCCAGCCTGTCTATATAGCAAGTTCCACACTAGCTGGTGCTACATTAAAACCTTGGGTTAAATCTTCAACACCCAAAAATAAATAAAAGATACTAGAAATATTTGCTATGGTAACATGTTAAGCTTCTACATATTCTGGAATGTTTGTTTCTAGTTTGGGGGAGGGTTTTTTGTTGTTTTTTAAATTTTTTTTTAAAAGTTTGTGTGTCCTTGTATTGCCTGCATGTAGGTAAGTGCACCCATGTCATGCAATGCCCGCAGAGGTCAGAAGAGGCTGTTGGATCCCCTGGAACTGGAGTTACGGATAGTTGTTAGCTGCCATGTGGGGGCCGGGATTCGAACCCAGGTCTTTTGCAAGAACAGCCTCTGTTCTAACTGCTGAGCCATCTCTCCAGCCCTTGTTGTTGTTTTTGTTTTTACAGTACTGAGAATTAAACCCAGGTTCCCAACACCTACATTACAGCTAACAGTCATCTGTAACCCCAGTTCCAGGGGATTCAACACCCTCTTCTGGCTTCTGGGCATTTTGCAACACAGGTGCACTTACATACATGCAGGCAAAATACTCACATATAAAATAATTTAAAATTTGGAAAGGATGCTAGAGAGATGACCTTGCTTCGGTTCCCAGCACCCACATGATGGCTCACAACCATCCCTAACTCCAGTTCCAGGGGATCTGACACCCTCTTCTGATCTCGATGGGCATTGAGCAACATGGATGTAAATTCTTTAAATCAAGCTTGATGGCTTATGCATCTAATCCCAGCACTCAGGAGGCAGAGGCAGGAGGATTACCAGTTTGAGTCAGTTGTGGGCTATATAATAGTGAGACACTGTCTCAACCTTCTTTGCTCCTGAAAAAAAAAAAATGATCTTAAAGTGGGTGTTACCATTTTACAAGTAATGTCTACTGTGATGAAGCCCACATGGCATTTATACATTTAGCAGGATGTGAATTAATTTGGTCAAATAATGGAGTGTAATTCTTATGTGATTTCATCTCTAACCCAGGAGACATTCTTTGAAAACAGTGTGTGCTGAACCCTTAGCTAGTTATTAAGGACACAAAGTTTTCTGTTTATTCCTGTTCAAGGAGTTCTTATTTTGCATAGAACTGAGTGCTGGTCAGAAAGCATGTGAGTGATCAGAGTAATACATTTTATCAAAGCTTCTTATTGCAAGTTATTTTTCATTGTTTATGTATATTTAAAATGTTTGGGGGCTGGAGAGATGGCTCAGCGGTTAAGAACACTGGTTGTTCTTGCAGAAGACCCAGGTTTGAATCCCAGCACCCACATGGCAGCTAACAACTGTCTTAACTCCAGTCCCAAGGGATCCGACAGCCTCTTCTGTCCTCCGTGGGCATTGCACGATACGGGTGCACTTACCTACATGCAAGCAATACATGCATACAGATAAAATAAAAATAAAATTTTTTTTAAAATGTATGTGCTTGTGTGTGTAGTGCCTGTGGAGGCCAGAAGGGGGCAGAAGATTCCTTGGAAAGGGAGTTAGAGATGATTGTGAGCTGTCTGATGTTGGTGCTAGGAACCAAAACCTGTCTTCTGCAAGAGTAGCAAGCACTCTTAACTGCTGAGCATCTCTCCAGCCCCCATTGTAGCAAGGATTAGAGAGCTGAAGTGAGAATTTGGGTTCAAGTTGTAGGAAACAGACTCCAATTTATTTTTTTATTTTGAAATTTTATTTTTATGTGCATGAGTATTTTGCCTGAATGTATGTAAGCTTGCCACATGCATGCAGTGCACAAGACGACCAGAAGATGGTGTCACATCCCTTGGAACTGGAGTTACAAATGGTTGTTAGCCTCCATGTGGGTGCTGGGAATTGAACCCAGGTCCTTTGTAAGAACACTGACCGTTCTTGCAGAAGACCAGGTTCTAATCCCAGCACCCACAAGGCAGCTAACAACTGTCCGTAACTCCAGTCCCAGGAGATCCAACAGCCTCTTCTGTCTTCCACGGGCATTGCATGACATGGGTGCACTTACCTGCATGCAGGCAATACATGCATATACATAAAATAAAAATAATAAAAACAAAAAACTAGACTCGATTTTTTTTTTTTTGGTCTTTTTGAGACAGGGTCTCCCTGTAGCCCCAGCTGGCCTGGAGCTTGCTATGTAGACCAGGCTGGCCTTCAATTCAGAGAGATCCACCTTCCTTTGCCTGAGTGCTGAGATTAAAGTTGTGTGCCACCATGCCTGGCTTTAGACTTGACTTCTTTAGAATTTCTATAATTTCAATGCTTTTAGATTCAGATATTGAAATTATGAACCACCAAAGTCAGTACAAGGTCAGTGTTAGTGAAGACAAAAAAGCCTAAAAGGAAAGCTTTGCCTTTGCCTCAGAGATATTAAATAGATGAAGGAAGAATGTCCTTGAGGCATGTCTTTACTTAAACCGAGATCCAGAAGCTCTTCTCCAAGGTCTTAAATTATAGACAAAGCATCTGCAGATGCTTCCTAGTGCGCTACACCCTGCGAGCTCTTAGCATACTGCCCAAGAGTTGTAGGACAAAGAACAGCCTTTAAACCAGAGTCAGCTGGGGAGGGGCACAGTGGTTAAGAGCACTTTTGTCTCTTCACTAACACTGACCTTGCACTGACTTTGGGGGTCCCCAGTGCTGCCCTCTCTGATAACAAAGGTCACTTCAGAAGAGTTTTAACTCCTGGATTCCTCTTCCTGTTCTGTGGCAACACCCTGGCCCTTGGGCAGAGTGGACAGATGGGCTTTGCTTCCCGTCAGTTTAATTGGTATCCTGGCTGCAAACCCCATTCATCTTTGCATCTTTACCGCCTCATGACTGTAATCTGAAGAGATGGGCTATTTAGACATTCTTGCTAGTTTGAAGTCTGACCATGAACCTTTATATTTCATCAAAACTTTAAATAGCACCAAACATTTTGGTGACGTGTTTCTGTCATTTTCTGCAGACATGCAAAAAGAAACACAATCAGCACCGATGATGTGAAGCTCTTGGCCAGGAGGAGTAACTCACTGGTGAGATGGATTTCTTCTCTTGCTCCTCTCTCCCCTCAGAATACATTATTCCCAATTAATCACTTGAAGGCACATAGTTATTCCCCAGGGCACCTTGCATTAAAAACTAGAGATGGTTGAACCATTCAGACCTGCTGGTAATTTATGGTCTTCCTTTCATTATGATGGATCTGGTGAAGCCAATTTGAAATTTTCTAATCAGCTCTCTCTGGATTCCATAATTTGCCTTTTTTGTAATACCTCAAAACTGTGGTCCCATGTCTCATCTACAACATGATGTCATAGACTAGCCATGGCTAGTCTGTGGGGATGGTTTCCTTATGGCACCCAGCATTCTTTTCATTCGCCCCAGTACTGGGGATCAGACTTTAGGTCTCATGCGTGCCAGACAAGTGCTATACATCTGAGCCGTATAGCCTTCATAAGTACCTGTAGCACACACAGATACAGACACACACAGTCCTTTTTTTCTTTTCTTTTTTCCCTTTTTGTTTTGAGACAAGAGCTTGCTAAGTGATGCAGCCTGGCCTTGAACTCGTTTTCTAGCCTAGATAGGCTTTGAATGTGAGATTTCTTGTGTAGCACCCTAAGTAGTGAGGATTACAGGATGGACCACTGGGCCTAGCTGATACCCTCAGTTCCCAAGGGCCAGGTATGGATGTCATGTCTACAATATTGAGCATGCAAAAAAGGGCACGTTTTGTTGTTGAGGTTTTTTTTTTTGGTCTTTTTGAGACAGGGTCTCCCTGTAGACCCAGCTGTCCTGGATTCACTGTGGAGACCAGGCTTGGACTCACAGAGATCCACCTGCCTCTGCCTCCTGAGTGCTGGGATTAAAGGTGTGCGCCACCACAGCCGGCCTGGTTTTTTTTTTTTTTTTTTTTCAAGTCTAAAAATGATTTTGGTCAAGCTGTCATTTTCCAGATGAAGACACTTGACATGCAGAGTGTCAAGGCCACCTGGCTGTGGTTGACGGCAGATCCAGAGCACAGGGAGATCCTGCCTAAGTCTAACACTGGCCGTGAGATTGAGCCCTTGGTATGATGATCTCTTCCCCAGGAGCAGGGAATTTTGACTGTGCTGTGCTCCATCTCCACCTCTAGCACAGACCCGATGTTCAACAAATAGTTATCCAGTGAATGAATTTCTACCTAATTCTTGGGGCAGAAGTGTTGGAGAAGGTACAAGTTCTAATTACTTTAGGGTTATCAAATGATTTTCCACCAGGCTTAAATATTGTTTTGATTTGCTTTTTTGTAGCTAAAATATATCACAGAGAAAAATGAAGAGATTGCTCAGCTTAACCTAGAACGGAAGGCGAAGAAGAAAAAGCAAGCAGAGGATGCAAACCAAAGTTCCAGGGAGCCAGCGGGCGGGGAGTGAGTCAGTCCTCACAGTCCTCAGCACTGGGAGAAGGCAGCCTTCCACAGGAGCCACCCAGACAGCGCTGCCACAGAGGCAGCTCTGGAGGGTCAGCAGAGATGCTAAAAAAAGTGGCTGGGCAGCTTTCTGTGCTATATCCTCCAAGTCATTAACTGCAAAAGCTAGTTTTGAAAGAGAGCCGGGAGTTCCAGGAAAAATACTCCCATGTCTTTCTCGAGCTTGCGAGAAAGACACGTTGCTTGAGTGGCAGATCCTGTGACTTACATTTACCGTAACTATTGCAACCACACTAGTGATTAAACACAATGGACTCTTTTAGGGGAAAATCGTAGTCCTTCATAGTTTATTTCCTAGGCTAAATAACAGTCCCCGAAAGATGAATAAAGCTGTATTTATTAAGCGCTCTGATCAATGTTCTTACACCTGTGCCATCTTGATCACCAGGTAAAGGGTGATGTTTGGAATGGAATTTCTTACTCTTTAAAGGCGTTTTTTTTTGCCAGGGTATACTTCTTTAATCCAAGCACTTGGGAGGCAGGTGCTGGCAGATCTCTGGATTTGAGCCCAGCCCAGTCTATATAGTGAGTTCCAGGGCTACTTAGTGAGACCCTGCCTCAAAAAACAAAAGTTCCAGGGGATCCAGTGCCCTCTTCTGGCATTGCACACATGTCTTACATACATGCAAGCAAAACACTCATACACATAAAAATAATTTTTTTAATGTGATTTTCTTAAGAATCATGGTTTTCTGTGACTTTTCTCTGGCAATTTTGTAATTAAGCTATGGTTCTACTGGGCAGAAGTTTTGCTTGAGGAGAAAATCTGGAACTTCTAGTCCAAAACACTTTATTTTGTTAAAACTGATGTTCAAAGGTCCTATTTTTTTTTTAATGTGTATGAGTGTATTGCCTGCATGTATGTGAGTGCACCCATGTTGTGTAATGCCTGAGGAGATCAGAAGAGGATGTCAAACCCCCTGAGTCTAGAGTTACAGGCGGTTTTTAACCACCTTGTGGGTGCTGGGAACCAATCTGGGTCCTCCATGAGAGTAGCCAATGCTCTTAACCACTGAGCCATCTCTCTGGCACCAAGGGTCCCATTACTACTGTCTGTCCATGTCTTTAGGGTTTCTTAGATGTTTGGGGCCTGCCTTTCCCTCATAGAATGATGGGGTACAGCAGAATAACCAGGGCCAGCAAAATAGCTCAGTGGGTAAAGGCAGTTATTACCAAGTTTAATGACCTGCGTTTAATTCCTGGGATTCACATGGTAAAAAGAGAAAACCAAGTGCCATAAATTGTTCTCCAACCTCTACATGTGCTCACCTGCACACATGTAAGAAAGCAAGATTGGCATGCACGCCTGTGTACCAGGCACCGTGCCTTCCTCTCATCCTTTATATTCTGTCTCATTGGGTCCCTTCAGCGTTGGCTGCTACCATTTTACTGATGAGGGTGAGCGAACAGATCTGGCAAAGTTAACCCCAGTGGTAACTTTTATTTTTAACCAGGCTGTTGATCAGTAGAAAAGGTCTCTGCAATTGCAGGTAGTGATCTAGAGTGGGTAAGAAAGGAAGGATGTGCAGTAGCTGGGGTGTGGGAGTCGGGGCAAGAGGATCAGGATGTCAAGGCAGGTCTGGGGCACATGAGAATCTGACACAGAAAAAGAAGAAAAAGCATGCAATGCATTTTGAGCAGAATATACCAACTTGCCAGACCTGGTGGTTCAAGTTTATAGTCCAGCTACTTGAGAGACCGGGAGGGTCCTGAGTTCAAAGTCTGCCCAGGCTGCAAAGTGAATTCAAGGCCAACCTGGGAAACTTAGTGAGATCTTGTCTCAAAATAAGAAGTAAAAAGAAGGGCTGGAGAGATGGTTCAGCGGTTAAGAGCACTGGCTGTTCTTGTAGAGGACCTGGGTTCGATTCCCAGCACCCACAATGGCGGCTAACAACCATCTGTAACTCCAGTTCCAGGGGAATCTGAAACCTTTTCTGACCTCCGTGGGCTTTGCCCGACACAGGTGCATTTACATACACATTGGCAGTACACTCATACACATTAAAAAATAAAATAGGGCTGGGTTATAACTGACTGGCACAGCGCATGCCTAGCACGTGTGCGGCTCGAGGTTCAAGCCCCAATACAGTTTTAAAACTTCAAGCCACTGGACATGGTGACACACGCCTTTAATTTCCAGCCCTTGGGAGACAGAGACAGGCAGATCTCTATGAAATTAAGGCCAGCCTGGTCTACATAGCAAGTTTAAAGCCAGCTAGGGCTACAGAGAAACCCTGCCCTGAAAAACAAAAAGTTCGCTATGTCACAAGGAAATGAATAGGGCCACCACAGAATATCCTTTATAGATTTCAGGAGCTCTTGATGCTCTACACGATTCTGGAAGTGGTGAGTCTGAGAATCTCAGCATCTCAGCTGAGAGGTCTTGAGGGCATCTCCCAGTTGGCAGGGGTATTTTATTTGGTTTTCCTTTCTGAAATAGTTTCATGTAGTCCAGGCTGACCTCTGACCTCAAACTCTATGTAACTAGGCTGGCCTTGATTTCTGATCCTCCTACCTCTGCCTCCCAAGTGCTGGGATTACAAGTGTGTGCCACTGTATCTCCTGATGCTATGTCTTCTACCCAGTTGGGAAAAGTGACATGACATTCATGTAATTTTTTTGTTTATTTGGAATATTTATGCATGACCTATATATATCAGGCAAGTCATTTTAATGGAGATTTTTTTTTCCCTCGAGACAGGGTCTTGCTGTGTAGACAGTGCTGGCCTTGAACCTGAGACACTTGCCTTGGCTAAGTGCTAGGATCAGAAGTATACCGTCACATCCAGCCCTAAGAAAGACTTTTGTGTTTTTGATTTTTGTGAGACAGGGTCTTAAATAGCCCTGGATGACCTGGAACTTGCTATGTAGACCAGGCTGGTCTTGAACTCAGAGATCTGACTGCCTCTGCCTCCTGAGTGCCTGGAACTAAAGGCATGTGCTACCACACCCAACTACACTTCTGATTTTTTTTTTTTTTTTTTTTTTTTTGGTGTTTTGAGACAGTCTCCCTGTAGCCCCAGCTGGCCTGGAATTCACTATGTAGACCGGGCTGGCCTTGAACTCACAGAGATCTGCCTGCTTCTGCCTCCAGAGTGCTGGGATTAAAGGCATGGGCCACCACACCCGGCTACACTTCTGATTTTTAAAAATTTTATTTGTATATAATGCTATGTGTGGGCTTATGTGTGCCGTGGCGTGCATGCGGAAGTCAGAGGACAACTTTGTGGAGTCAGTGCTCTTCTACTTTTATGTGAGTTTGGGGGATTAAACTCGGGTTTTCAGGCTTGCACAGCAAGTACTTTACCCATTGAGCCATCTCTCAGGCCCTACACAGTGATTTTAATTTTAAAAACTGGTGGGGAGGGCACGGCGGGGGGTGGGGGGGATAGCTCGGCATTTCAGAGCACTGACCTTGCAGAAGACCTCAGTTCCCAGCACCCACATGTCTGCTCACAACCACCTGTAACTCCAGTTCCAGGGGATTTGATGCCCTCTTCTGGCCTCTGACAGCACTGCACACATCTGGTGCACCTACATATAGGCACAACACTCATATATGTAAAATGAAAATTTAAAAAAAAAAACTGGGCCGGGCGTGGTGGTGCATGCCTTTAATCCCAGCACTTGGGAGGCAGAGGCAGGCGAATCTTTGTGAGTTCGAGGAGGCCAGCCTGGTCTACATAGTGAGTTCCAGGACAGCTGGGACTACAAGGAAACCCTGTCTCAAAAAAGAAAAAAAAAAAAATTGAGACAAGGTTTCACTATGTGGCCCTGCCTAGCCTGGAATTCCACATATAGATCAGGCTAGCCTCAAACTCTCAGAAATCCACTTGCCTCTGTTCCCTAAGTACAGGGATTAAAGGTGTGAGCCACTACAACTAGCAAAATTTTAAAAAAAATTTATTTTTATTTTATGTGTATGAGTGTATTGCCTGCATGGAGTGCACCCATGTCATGCAATGCCTTGGAGGTCAGAAGAGGGCTTCAGATTCCCCTGGAACTGGAGTTAAAGACAGTTTGTAGCCACCACGTGGATGCTGGGAATCGAACCCGGGTCCTCTAGCAAGAGCAGTCAGTGCTCTTAACTGCTAAGCCATCTCACCAGCCCCAAATTATTATTATTTTTTTAATTAGCAAGGGAGGCAGACGTGTGGTCAGAGAACAACTTCCAGAGTCAGTTTTCTCCACCGTGTGGGGTGTGGGGTTGGACTCAGGTCATCGGCCTTGGTGGGAAGTGCCTTTACTTGTTGAGCTATCTCACCAGCATAACATCATTTTTCAAAATGTGCTATTTGCTAACCCAAGTGAGTCTAGAAATCTCTAGGGTAGGATTTCAGGGTCAGTGTCGTGGGAGTTCTTGGTGACGCAGGATACCCTTAGTTCCATAACTTCTGAATCAACAACAGCTACAGTGATTTGGGACACAGTGCAGTTGAAGGCCTGGCCAGAGCAGTGGGCCTGGGCCACTAGGTAGAGGGCAGTGTTAGGGACAGTCTCCTGGTTCATCCTTGCTTGTGATTGGATGAGACGATGGTGCTGTCATTGTGTTCCTGAGTCTTTTGCTCATAGCTATTTAGTCAGGCTTATTTTTGGTGCTGGAGATGGAACCCAGAGCCTCACACATGATAAGCACGTGCTATACTGAGCTGCATCCCAGCCCTCAGTCATACTTTCGTATGGGCAGAATTTCACGTGTTAAGCTCTTTATGCAAGCCTAATTTCATATTATGTCGAATCACTTGGCTTTGTTCTGCCAGCTTCCTGCTTCCTATAGACTCAATTACAAGGAGGAGAACTTCCTCGTAGTTTGGGTGCACATGCATTCTAAAATAAGAGCAAATTCACTCAACACAAGACCTGAGGCTTTAATTAAGGGGCTAAATCCAACCCCAAAATGTTTTTGTGAGAACTGATTGCTTGGGCTCGTGCGTCACTGCACCAGTGAGGAGAGGCATACGGGTTTTCAATGGACACGTATAGCCCCCCTAACAGCTGGTGCCAGAACTTAAAACACCCAAGGCTCCAAAGAAGAGACCCACATCCACAAAACGTCGCAAAGAAGGATGGACTGCAGGAGGGCCAGAGAGAAGTGGCCGTCAGCCTGTGGTATGCTGCTGCTGCTGCTCTGGGGGACTGTGGCCATCGCCCTTCCCCTGGAGGGTGGTCCCACTGGCCTGGACAGCACGGTGAGTGCAGTCCCAATCCCCACCTGTCCACATGTTGGCCTGCTCAGTTTGTCTCATTTCTTGGCCTTTTGTGCACTCTGTGGATTCTCCAGCATTTGCATGGCTGTGCGTAAGTGTGTGTGTGTGTGTGTGTGTGTGTGTGTGTGTGTGTGTGTGTGTGTGAATGTATGCGTGTTGAGCTGAATTGAGCTGTAGTCTTGGCTGCCTGGGATTCTGTGATATCCCATTCAGACCACTGGCTCTCATTTACGTTGATTTGTCCCACCCATGTTTGTTAGGTCCCTCTGCAATTCAGAGGGTACCTCTCCAAACCAGTGTCTACTTAGGTTAGTCTTCAGGACGGTGATTGCTCCCAATGTCATAGCACACTTGTGGACCAGCTCCAGCCAGTATTAGTCGCACAGAGCCTTAATATATATATACACACAACTATGTTCTGACTGGCTCAGATTAAGTCATGTTGCATTTGCCATGGTGTGAATTTGTAATTTCATGAAGTGATTTACCTTCTTTTTTTTCTTTTTCCATTTTGAAAAAGTTCCAAGAAAGAGTACATAAAGTTGACCATTAAAAATGGATTTTTCTCTGAAATTACAGAGGCATTTCAGACTGATCATTTATCATCACATTACTCCCAGAAGCTTCCTAAGGAATTTGAAAGACCAGAATTTAGCATCTCAATGTGCTCTGATTTGTGAACAGCCAGGAGGCTGTATGAAGATGGGCAGATCAGATCTGCCTGGGACCTCTTAGTGGTCTGTCACCTTGGCGGGTGTGGGGGGTGAGGGGTAGTGACAGATTTCCTCTGCTCTTCCTTAAGGACTTCAGCAAAGATTATGGGGCAGAACTAGCAGGTTTTTTGACTCATCTGAAAATAATCAACGTTTCCATTTCTCCAGTTAGAACCATTTCTTTAAGGTGCTCTCAACTGCCCCAGCCTTGAGGGGAAACATGACCATTGCTACAGAGCATCTTTCTCTTTGTAAGGGAGATGTTGCCTATCTCTAATGCTGAGTGAGTCCCAGTTAGTTTTATCTCCTTCCTCTTCTGCTTCTCTGTAAAAGCACACGCACGATGTGGCAGAGGTGAAGAGAAACAGCCTCCTGACTTTCCTTGCATGGTGGCACGAGTGGACCTCACAGGCCAGTGCTGGTGCGCTCATCAGAGGGGATGGCAGCGAGGTGTCCAAGCGGCAGGAAGGCCGGCCCCTCCAAAAGCCCCCTCGCCAAGACAAAGCACCCTGCAAGAATTTCTTCTGGAAGACCTTCTCCTCCTGCAAATAACCCCACCCTGCTTCCTGTGAAATGCAGTGATGGACCTGAATAAAGATCATTAAACAGCAGAGAGCTTATTTTTTTAATTAAAAAAATTTATTTCTATGTGTATGAGTGTTTAGCCTGCGTGTATATAAGTGTGCCTGTGAGTGCAATGCCTATGGAGGCCAGAAGAGGGTGTCAGGTCCCCTGGAACTGGGATTATGGATGGTTGTAAGCTGCCATGTGGGTGCTGGGGACTGAACTGGGTCCTCTACAAAAGCAGTCAATGCTCTTAACTATTGCATCTCCCTAGTACCCCCACTCCCTGCTTTTTGTGTTTTTTTTGTTTTGTTTTGAGACAGGGTCTCCCTGTAGCCCCAGCTGGCCTAGAACTCACTATGTAGACCAGGCTGGCCTAGAACTCACTATGTCTGGTCTTGATCTCACAGAGATCCGCCTGCCTCTGCCTCCTTATTGCTGGGATTAAGGGTGTGTACTATCACACCCAGCAGAAACCTCCTCCTCCTCCTTCTCCCCCTCCCCCTTCTACTTCTTCCTCTTCCTCCTCCTCCTCTTCCTCCTCCTCCTCCTTCTCCCCCTCCCCCTTCTTCATTAGGACCTCCTCTTCCTCCTCCTCCTCCTCCTTCTCCCCCTCCCCCTTCTTCCTTCTCCTCCTCCTCCTCCTCTTCCTCTTCCTCTTCTTCTTTTCTTCTTTTTCTCCCTTTTTGAGACAGGGTCTCCCAGTAGCCTCAGCTGGCCTGGAGCTCACTATGTAGACAAGGGTGGCCTTGAACTTACAGAGATCCGCCTGCCTCTGCCTCCTGAGTGCTGGGAAGGGAGCTTTCTTCTTTAGGCATTCTTTCTTCCTATGTCATGAGAAGTATTTTTAACTAAATTTCAATATTGCCCACTACAAACAATAGGTGGAACTTGTAAGTAATCTGAAACCCAAAGAGAGCTTGTCAGGTCAAAATGGTGGTGGGTCTTGCTAGGCTGTACTTGGTAGAACCATTGGGCTTCTTTCCAACATCTGTTCTAATGTCGGGCTTTTTCTTTTGATTTAAAATAGCCTTAGCTAGTTCAGGCTGGCCTCAAACTCCTTATGAACCAAGAATGACCCTTTAAGTGATACTCCTGGCTCTACTTCTCAATTACAGCTAAGGCTGTATATTTAAGAGTTCAAAATAACATTTTCAGTTTATTTTTGGCTTTCTGAGATGGGGGTCTTACCATATGGCCCAGTTGGTCTTGAATTCACAATCCTGTTGACTTCTGTGCTGGATAGCTTTAGTGTCAACTTGACACACCTGGGTTGAGGGAGCCTCAATTGGGGAATTGCCTCTATT